GAAAAGTTATCAGAGACCTTAATAAAATGATTACATAAAACTTAATTAACCCTGCTAATATTACTCTATTGTTCAGAGATATGTCAGAAATTTAATAAGAGTTTATTAATATAATTTTCCACAAAGCTTCATATAATAACAAATCCTTCATAATTTTCACAATTAATCCCTAAACATAAATGTTAAAGATTCAACTAAATTGATAATAAGTTTTAAACAATAACATGAAATAATAGAAAGAATATATTGTTGATTGGATGTTACAAGCATTTTTTTAATATCTGTCTTATAAATTGATAATAATTAGTTTAAATGATATTAGAAATTATAGTGACAGTGGCTTCCACAAATGAAGAAGAAATTAATTATAAAGATAAAATTCTCCAAACAGCCGATTATTTGTGGTAAAAAAACACAGTCTCAGGTCGTGTGAGTGACTACACAGGAGCTGGTTTTAACATATTGACAGATGTACCTGAGTTAATGAGGTATAAGACCTGTTGTATAAATTTGAGTTAGCTTCGAAAGTGGTTTAACTCCTTGGTTACAATTTTTGTCACAATTTTAATTAAGGAGTTAAACCAGGTTCTTAATTGAACCGTGTTGAATTAGCGGTGATAATACGCGTTGTTAGTGGAAACAGGCAGAAGTATAATAAAATATCTGATGTGACCCGCAGATAACTTTCTTATACCAATATATATCATCCTGATTTAAATAAAATCATTCTATGTAATTCTCCACTTACCTCAATTAAATTTTAATAGCTTACCTTGAAATGTTTCATTAAATTTTTTAAATAATTAACTATCAGCGTCATTCGATACTGACAATAATAATTCATGTCATATATTTTAATAATTTCTCAATATTGACATTGACATTTTTGTAACTAAATTAGACATTTCAAATGCCAAACTGTTAAATTTTCCCTAACCCTATTTTATGAGGTCAAATGTGTAAAAAATTTCAGTTTACATCAGCATTATTTAAGTACTTGGAAAATATATTTTATTGGCTTGACATGATTTATAATCTTTCATTATGAATGTTTTTTTTGTAAAGGCAAATACAAAAAAGTTTGGGTCACGTGGATCTCCTTCCAGCTGGCCAATTTTGCTCATCTTCGAATTTATCATTGTCTTTGGCCTTTAGAATATGTGTACAAATTTGAAAGCTTTATCTGCTATCGCGATACTACAGACATGCAGACAGATTTTTTTCGATAAAGTTATATTTTTTCATTATAATTCGTCGAGATTCGTCCAGAAATGCAATAAAATTTTGACTTTTTTTCCCAAAATTGTACCTGTTTTCTTCTTTCATTCATTATGTTTCTTCTGGTGGTACCACATTCACCAAATTTAATGTGTCACCTAAGATATTGTTGACAATCTTAACTGCCAAATTTGGGAAGTCACCCATTAGTAATTTTTGAGTTAACGCGGAGACACACACACACACACACACGCACACACGCGCACACGAGCACACGCGCACACGCACACACGCACACACGCACACACGCACACACGCACACACGCACATACGCACATACGCACACACGCACACACGCACACACGCACACACGCGCACACGTACACACGCGCACACGCTCACACGCGCACACGCACACACGCGCACTCGCACACACGCACACACGCACACTCGCACACACGCACACACGCACACACGCACACACGCACCCACGCGCACACATACACGCACCGACAGACATCATTCGGAAAATAGTCAGAATGGATTCAGGAGAGTTCAAAACGTATATATGTATATATATATATATATATATATATATATATATATATATATATATATATATATATATATATATATATATATATATATATATATATATATATATATATATATATATATATATATATATATATATATATATATATATATATATATATCAATCAAAATCTCTAGTTCGAAAAATCACGATTACTATACTTCCTTATATTAGGTATAAGACAGTAAAAAAGGTTACAAAAAAAAGTATGATTCGTTAATTTCTAGATAGAACAACTGTAATTAGTTTTTAGCTATTCTGACACCAATATGTCGTTTCTGAATATTACACTATTTGGCCACCTTTTAGTTTAATGTTAAGAGATTAACAGATAATAGCGTCAAAAACACAAACTATGCTTATAAAATAAAAAATCTTTCATTTAAACAAACCTCATATCTGTCCCTCATGTCTATCGCATAATGTTTGTTCTACATTCTTTCATTGTCGTTGTCCTCGGTTGGCTTATGGCCGTATTAATAGTCATGTGCTCAAGTTCACGCCAAGTCTGACTTGCGTAAGCAAGACTTAAGACTGGATTCGTACTAGAACTCGTTCTGTTTAATAGTTGTGACTTCGGTTAAACTCGGGTAAGTCAACCTTAAGCATTGATTTATTAGGAATTTTTGATATCTCGGCATGGCAAACCTGTTGCAAAGAGGGGTAAATGTTTGAGTGGCAGAAATTTAGCTGTTAATCAAAAACTTGCTGAGGAGAGCGCACTTCGCGTGCAAAAAATGAACGAGATGATTAATCAGCAGAGGGAACTACATGACGTTCGAATGCGTACTGCCCTAGAGGAGCTAGCCGGAGCCAGATTTAGGAGGGAGTTAGAAGAAATTAAACTCAATGATTATAAATTGAAATGTGGGTGCTCTTGTAAAACATATGACGATTAAAGTAAAATAATAAATATTAGTTTTTTATTCATCAAAAATATGTAGTAACTATCGAGTTCAAAATAATTTTAGATAGTTCGATTATTTTACATAATGAACTGGAAATTTGCATTTTACCGTTTTGGACATACCTAGGGATATTATGATATTATCTATAAACTAGATAGTATTTACAAACATATCATTTTCTTTCACAAATAATAAATTTTAATGTCCATGTAGTTTTTATAAGGTTTAAAAATAATTGAACAAAATAGTTCAGTTAGTTCATTATTCATATTTCATTAGGACCAGTTGATTAAAATTTGCATCTGATAGCACGATAAGTAGAGTTTGTCACTGTTTTGGTAATTAAACATTGATATGCTAATTTTGGTTGTAAATTTAAAGCACTTATTTGCAAGTACATCAACCCTTAATCAGCATTAGCATCCATTTATAAAAATAAAACTTGTCTCAGGACCACCACTGTTCTAAAAAAATCAAGATAAACAAATAAAAAGTATGGTTAGAAGTTATTGACATTTATTAGAAGTGTTAAAACCGCGGTAATTTGAACGACAAAATGGTATAAGACGATCTCAAGACATCTAAATCCAGACTTCAGCTTCACTCTGACTTAAGTCCTAGTTTAGTCTTGAGCATTGTCTATTAAATGAAACCTGCCAACTTAAGTCCTACTTGACATAAGATCGACTCAAGTCGCGTTTATTAATACGACCATTAGTTATTTAGGCTTGGAATGTTCGCAGATGGTTTAGGATCGTCTTCCACGTATCATAGAGTTGACCTTGGATAACACTCAAGGTGGGATGTATTGATTGATAGAATTTCGTTTTTGATTTCTCAAATAAATGGTCCTTATATAATTCTTAGTAATTTAGCTGGGCAACAGTTATCATCAATTATTTAATAGGCCTGATCCGATCCCCTACGGGCAAAACCTAGAATATTGAACAGGAACGCATTGTAATATTATTTTTTTCGTATTTTCTTCGAGCAATATTCTTCTGAAATAAAATACTAGACTGCAAACATGAAACGTTCTGCATATGAATATATCTTGCATATATGTACTAAAACTAGAATAGTATTTTGCTCGATACATTTTCTTCAGTTTTTATTTATATTCACTTAAAAATGCTGGAAATATTAATTTCTTGTTACATTTTTATTAAATAGTCTCTGAATTATTAAAACATAATTCTGAAGAAATTCATTTAATTTCTTTATAAAAGACCAAGAAAAGAACAAAATGCCACAAATAAATACTTGAATATTTTCGAATAATGTATTTACTAAGTAACTTGAAAACTTTTGAATTTTTAATGCTTTGTTTTTTTTTATTAGTAAGTTTATCCCACAAATTCTTTCAAAACCAATGGTAAGAGTTTATTGTATTTAAATTCTCCTACAGTGTTCTTTTTCTCACGATTACTCACGGACTTGTTTATACTTTCATGAACGAAAAGAAATTGAATTTAAAAGAAAAACAACACTTAAAGCCATTTAGCTAAAATCCAAGGCAAGGGCAAATAACGGGTAGAAGTAAACTTGTTACGGCAGATTTATTAGGAACAGGGCTAATTTCCTATTCACTGTCATCTACCATTGAATGCGGGTACGGAGTCATGATGTAATTATTATAAATTAAATAACAAAATGTGCCATGTTCTATTAGCGTTATTGGTGTAGCGAATTACGATAATCTTTGAATATTCCGTATAATATAAGCAAGTTCACAGCAAGCTAATTGAATGCGAGTATGAATTAACCGATTTTGTTTTAAATTTGTCTGATTTATTAAAATATGTGGGTCTCTTAGTATGTCCCTGTGCCCATCGGCATATTTGTTGCTCTGACTGTATCCGCTATAACTTTGAAAATTTAATTTATCGATTAATAAATTGTTATCTCACTCTCACAAGGTTTTATGTACTCGTATCTGAATATCAACCGTTTCAGTCACCTTTGACTAACCATATCTTTTAAAACAAGTTCCAAATTGTTTGAGATATCTTTCCTATTTTAATATATGACATTAGAAATTTCGATTACATAGTCAGTAACAATTTGATCTCTCTAAAAGATCTGGTTCTCATCAAATAGATAGCTTGTGTGTGTCATGTGTCGTATTAATATTAAACAACACAGGTAATGCAATTCCTGGTATTCCTGAAGGTACCTCTATGTACCTTGTGTGGGAGAAGGCGACACATTTGGAGATAATGGACACACACCCAGTGTCCGAGTATGCTAGGATTAATTTCCTGGTTTAGAAAACATCCTAGCTCCTCGAGCGGGGATCGAACCGCGGACTCTAGGGTGAGAGGCAAGTATCCTTACCACTCGACCACGAAGCCACACACATGTTTCTTGACTTCTAGTGTAAAATACTTATTTTAGTACTGCGTCATGTGCTTTTCATATGCTGTGCTAGGTATAAGATATCCTCATGTTTCACTTTTCTTGCACTTATCAGTCTGTTGGTCTGTCATATGTATTACTTTTGCACTTCTAGCATCATCCTTGAATTTCTACGGTAATTATAGTCTTTTAATTCCAGAAAACTGTCCCGATTTCCCTCTAGATTTGTTGATGGTTTGCGTTAAATTTTTTGATATTTAAGGGTAAATTATTTTTAATAAACCAGTCTTTGGAAAAAATTAAATTTTGTTGTAGATCGAGACATTCATCAACTCTGCAAAAAATTTTCAAATCATCGGCATATAATAGGCATGAAACTGTTAGGCTATCAACAATATCATTGATAAATCAAGCAAAAAAAGAGGTCCTTATATCGATCCCTGAGGAACGCCTGAAGTAGTAGATACTTCAACAAAATTGCAACCACGATATACTATATGTAGAATTACATTTGAAAAATAAGATTTTAGAAACACCAGGAAGTCCTGAGAGAAACCAAAATTAATCAACTTATTTAATAGTATACCATGTGTGATCAAATAATAGAATTTCAAAACATTTTGCAAAGTTACAAATTATGACAATTGGACGACAGTTACCAATTTCAGACCAATCACCTTTCTTAAAAACTGCGGTTATCTTAGATAACTTCCATTGCGATGGAAAAGTATTTATTTTTATACATAAATTAAAAAGTTTAGAAAGGGGTTCTGCAAATATTAACGCACAGTTACGTATTAAGAAAGTTGGAATTCTATCTTGCCCGCTTGTCAGCTTGGGACAGAATTTTTTTTAAATAAATGAGAACATTATTTTCAGTTATTACAGGTCAATTTAGTTGATCATAGTTATTAAAGTTTTTAACAAGGTAGTCATTATTGTTAGTAGGGGTGTTATAGGATTGCTAAAAAAGTGTGCATGTTTCTTCTTTATCGGAAAGATTTATATTATCAACAGTCAAATTATTAGGTATACCAACATAAGCGTTCTTTTAATTAAATAATTTCCAGAAATTAGAGGGATTTTGTATTATATTATTATCTAAGTTAGCTAGATATTCTTTAAATGACTTTTCGAAGTTGGTTTGGAATTTACGCCTAAGTTGTTTAAACTCATTATAGAAAGTGATATCATTAGAGTTTTTGTACTTTTTCCAGCGTAAATCTTTTCTCTTAATGTCTTTTATTATAGAATAAGTGAACCATCTTGTCTATTGTCCGTTTTACGTACGGCAAATAAGTTTTTGTTATTGTTTTCTTAGAGTCCTTTTGGGTTGCAGGTCTAATTGAAATTTGCGACTTGTTTTCGAGTGATTCTTCTAGGGGTGCGTTTAGAATGGTACGACTTCAAAGCTGACTAGAGTGTGTTCCGTTTGGATGATGTCGTTATATAATAATTCGATGAAGTATTCTGCTTTCTTGTTTTTTGAGCAAAAGGCTACAGTTTCCCAGCCAAGTATCTTGCTAGTACTGTAGAAGTTATCTTAATGGGCTGACAATCGATCTTAAAGGCGCTCTTTTTTTTTAAGAATGTTTGGTAAAATTTGTAATTAAGAACAACTTGAAGAAAAAGTCTGATTTTGGGCTTCTTTATCGAATGGGCTGGTTTTAATCTTGGATTTTGTCGTCTTCTATAGAAACAAACAAACAAACGTGAGGCGCTTTGTGCCATATTTTTCGTATATCGAGCAACCCACGCTTTTTTCACAATAATACTAGTATTTTTCGTTCATTATTGTTTTCAGTTTATATTAATAATTATTTTTCACTTTTTAGTTTGATGTGCTTTAAAAGCGTGTTTTTTAGTTTTTTTAAACTATATTTATTTTATGTGATATTCGTCGCTATTTATCATTACTCGTAAGACTATATTGTTCTCATTTTACTGTAACATCTTCATCTTGACTTATAGTTTCAGCAAAGTTTTGTATGTATTATATCTGTTCTGTTAGTCTCATAAGGTTTTTATAACTGTTAAATTCTGCCTTGTTGTTAATTGTAATATGCTATATTCTACTCTATATCTACAATACATAATGTGTTAATTTATTTTATAATATATTTGTTTTTCTTGGCACTGAATGCCTGTTTAGGACAAACAAGAATTAATAATGTTTCAAATACAATAACTAATTATAAGTGTGTTGTATGGTAAATCAAAAAATAAGTAGCCTAGGATAATTGGAAAATCGATACTCAATAAATTATTACTTTGTTACCTTGATGAATAATGAACTGTCTTGTTCTTTGTTATACTCAGATATATTGATAGCGTAAGGTGAAATATATGTGACACATCGAAGTTCAGAAGAAGAACTCGCATTTAGAGAAAAGTCTGGACACATAAATTCTTAACGGTAAGACGGGTATACATTACCGAAACTTGGGATAAAGTATTTTTTCTAACATTACAAAATGAATATATGATGCAAATACTACCATTATTTTCCAAGGAACTGACTTTATATTCGTATGTATTTTAACTTTCTTTAAGCCAAACTATGCTTTTATAACTCGTGAAAAATTAAACATATATTCAAGAGCTCAGGAATTTTATAGAAAAGAACATGTATGGACAAAAAATGGAAAAGTGCAGAAGAAAAGGGAATTCTAATTACAATGAGAAAGAAATCCTCTAACCATAAATATTACGGCCAGCTGTCAAGTAAATATATATACATTTAGTGTGTCTCAGTTAAGAGTGTAACAGCGTAATAATTCTTTTGTTTTTTATCCGATTTAAATCAAACCGATCTCAAAATATAGAGGTCAACAAGGTTTATTTAATACCAGAAAATTACTATTCATCTTTAAATGCAAAACCATCTATGATGCTAAATTATATGAAAGAAATAAAAAAAGTCGTAGTAGGCATTTTTTAATAAAAACATTTTATGAACAAAACTTGTTCGAAATCACTCAAAAACCCTAAATCCGAAGTTTAGTTAAATTTTTTAAAAAATTAGGTTTGGATGAAAACAATCATTTTAGGCATTTTAATAAAAATTATTTCTAAATTAATTTTTTTTGAAACACAATTTACACAAATAAATAATAAATACAACCAAAAGAATTAAATATTATTATGTTAATGCATGCCTCAATTCGCTTTCTGTTGTTGTTCATAACTTTTCGGAGGTTTGCAGGTGTAATTTCAGCGCAAGCTCGCCTAATCCGGTTTTCCATTTATAGTCTATTTCGTGGCTGCGTTTTGTAGACTTCATTCTTTTGAAACCCCCCATAAAAAGGGCGTGAGGTCAGGTGACTTCGGAGGCCAATTAATAAAAGGGTTATTTCTTCCAATCCACCTCTGGGGAAAGTTGCCGTTCAGACAATTCAGTACTACCATTGCATTGTGGATTGGGGCTCCATCAAGTTGAAATATCAGATTGTTGTATGCAATAAGGGGCAAGTTTTCAATTTCGATTGAAAATTCAGTTTGCAAAAAAATTAGAAAACGTTCCGCATTTAAATTGCCCTCAAAAAAATATGGCCCAATTATTTGTTCATTCAAAGTACCGCACCACACATTCACCTTTTCTAAATACAGGCGTCGACAGTTTACAACCCAATGAGGGTTTTCAACGGACCAATTTCGAGTATTTTGAGAGTGAACTGTGCCATTAGTTGTAAATGTCGCTTGATCTGAGAATAAAATATTTTAAAAAAATTAGGGTTGTTCAAAAACTCTCCCTGACACCAAAACCAATATTCCAGCCGCCTTTCTTCGTCTCCTTCTTCTGATGTGTGTAAGAAAACAGGCTTGAAGGGACGTAATTTATTTCGACGAAAGCATCACCAAATTGCATACATTTAAAATTGTGGACGTTCTTCTTAGGCTACACCTTGGATTTTCTCTCACAAACTGAAGAATTTCTGCATCTCTAACATGATTCCTCACACATTGTTCTTGTTTATTGCACACTTTGCCAGTTCTATTGAATAAATTATTAATTCGCCAAACTTTTACATGGTCTATTGGGGGTTGATCTGGATGCCGATTATTAAATTCTGTAGCAGCTTCCCTCGCTGTACGAGAATTATCACCAACTAATCTAACAATTTCCACTTTTTCCTCAACTGTAAGCATTTTAATTGAAATAAAATATGCTAGAATACAAAAAAATCAGACAGAATGCCAACAGATTTACTTGACAACTAATCTGACATTTACAAAATTGTCTTTTAGGAGAAACAAAGGAGCATACTTATCAAAACGAGAAATTTGGGACTGGAATTTTTTCCATCAAAACCTCATTTTTTTTTTAGAATTTAACTAAACCTCGGATTCAGAGTTTTTGAGTGATTTCGAACAAGTTTTGTTAATAAAATTTTTTGATTAAACAATTTCTACTATGATTTTTTGATTTCGTTCAAATAATTTAACATCGTAGATGATTTTGCGTTTAAAGATGGAAAGTGATTTTGTGGTCTTAAATAGACCTTGTAGACCTCTATCTTTTGAGACCAGTTTGGTTTAAATCGGACAAAAAACAAAAGAATTATTACGCTGTTACACTCTTAAGTGAGACACACTGTATGTACGTATATAATATATTTTTTAATAATTTAAAAACAAATTAAGTTCCTCTTCTTGATAAAAAGTTAAAATATAGAGTGGAATGAAAAATAATATTAACTGAAAATTTTTGTTAATTATTATTTACTAACTTTTACAAATCTTATCACAGATAAGTATAACATATATCTTTTTAAACAATTGTTTTCCCGGCTATTTGCCAAAACGCTGAAACTTGGATTACAAAAAAGATAATATGCACATTATGTTCAGTACTACATTATTGAGTCAGTAGTACTGAACATAATGTGCATATTATCTTTTTTGTAATCCAAGTTTCAGCGTTTTGGCAAATAGCCGGGAAAATAATTGTTTAAAAAGATATATGTTATACTTATCTGTGATAAGATTTGTAAAA